TACATGGACCAAAACCTATATAAACACACTAAAGGAAAGGAACAAAATCCAAAAACATCATAGGGCCTCTTTAATATAAAGGCTGTCAATCATGAATGGATATTTCAGGTAAGGAGGACAGCCCTACCTATAGAAGAAGACTGTGGACTGATGAGGAGCTCCTCCTGGACCTGTTCACTCCCTGGCACCGTCTGCTGGTCACTCAGCGAGCTCTGGGAGGCGCTGACCGGCTGCGAAGACGCTTCTTGGACCTCTTCATCACTGAGCCGCTCCACTTTCACCCTCACATCTACATCCTCTGCCGGCATTGGTGACGACACCACCTTGGAGCTTTCACATGCGAGGAAGTCACTGAGCCGCCGGCCAACCACCACCCCTGACGTCTCCGCGGTGCCCTGATCCAAACAACGAGGGCTCTCGGAGAGCTTTGATTTGTCCGAGTGGAACCTGCGGTCGATACCGAAGGGGAAAGTCCATGGGAAGGCCAGAGAGGACTCCACAGGCTGCGCAGTGCTGTCTGAGAATGACAGGGAAGGGTTGGGGATCTGAGGGGAGGTGTTGACCATCTGCGTAGTGCATTTGAGCGGACTCTCAGGCGATGCCACTGTCACAAAGCTTTTACGTTTCCGTCGCGATTCGCGGCATATAGGAACGTTTCTCTCCATCACGCTGCAGTCGGACGAAACAGGCGACACGCTGCCGTCCAGTGGTGTGAGCGCACAGTTCGATGAGGCGCTCTCCGGTGCCGATTCGTGCGGTTTATCTGCCATAATGTTGTTATTGTTGCTGTTGTTACTCGCCGTCCACAGAATGCTAGACTTCATGAACTCCGAACATGTGCTTGCAACAGCGAACATCTGCATGTAACTCGCAGCTGCCAAGACGTCGATGATATTCTCTGTGCTAATAGAGAGCGTAGACGTGTATGCATATTCCAACAGAGGAGCGAAGCCACTGACGGTCACGTGATGAAGATCCAAAACAAACTTATCCTCCTCCTCGGGCCGGCCCACCAGTTTTGAGCGGAAGAATTCACTGCAGCAGACCAGGACCACTTTGTGGGCCAGGAAGAGCTTATCTTGGACCCGAATGGTGACATCACATAAGTGACCTTGGTTGCGTAGAGCATTGAGCTTCTCAAGCATCTCGTGGCTGTGGGAGGTGGAGCTGTGGGTGAAAGTTTTCACCCCCATGTCAGAGTCAGTTTATGACCGTGTACAGGAAATACGTCCTGCAGAGAGATGGGAGAAGAAACAAAAGAACATTTAAAATAAGACAAAACCATATGAGCTGTACCTCAGGAGAACTATTCTTGTAGGAAAACCAAACATGTGGCTGTTTGGACAAAAACTTTCTTTATTAAGCTTTGTGTAGCATTTTACATGATTACTGTAGTGTTTTTACATAACAATAGCATGTACTGTGAATACCTAACTAAACAAATTCAAACTCTTGCGGTTTAAGAACCAAGTGTCAAATGACAGATATCACAGGGGACTCTCACTAAATTCCACCATTACAAATCAATAAAGACTAAATTAATAGTTAAACCCCACACTACAAAACACCAGCACCATGGTAAAGATGGGATTAATTAACACTAGAACCGCCAGAGATTTTTTATACATAAAACCGCCACCGGGGTCAAATTGACCCAGCATTAGAATGCATTGATTTTCAAAGTAAAAGTATTGCTTTAAAAAGAAAAATGGTCCTGAGGTATTGGTATTTTGACAAGCAATTTTGTTAAATTGTTTCGTTTATTAACGGTACAACATAGGGTTTCGTGAGGCGGTTGTCGTTGTTGGGTGAAAAGCAAACAGTTGTTTGCTGCGGAGCAAAGCGCAAGCAGTCTCGCGGGAGCGCGCTCCTTCACTACAGACTGTCGCTATCAATCTATCTTTCAATCTATAAGGAACTGCAGTAGACAAAAGGCGTTGCTATAGCAACACGTCATGTCCTACCTCTCCGACAGATCCCACTTCATCTCCCTCAACAATCACTCCTCTACCACAGCTTCAGTCACCCAAGGTGTTCCCCAAGGTTCAGTACTCGGCCCCCTCCTCTTCATCATCTACATCCTCCCCCTTGGTCAGATTCTCCGCCATCACAACCTGGACTTTCACTGCTATGCTGACGACACACAGATCTACCTCAGCACCAAATCCCCCCACAACCCCCCTCTCACACACATCGAATCCTGTCTGACTGCAATAAAATCCTGGATGCAACACAACTTCCTCAAACTCAACAGCAATAAAACTGAACTCCTCCTCATCGGCTCCAAATCCACCCTCATCAAAACCCCCAACCTGACACTCACCATCGATGGCACCCCTGTTTCCCCCTCCACCCAGGCACGCAACCTTGGCGTGATATTCGACCCCACCCTCTCCCTCGACCCCCACATCCGCCAAGTTGTAAAAATCTTATTTCTCCACCTCCGCAATATCGCCAAACTCCGTCCCTCTCTCACCCGCCCCGCAGCTGAGCGACTCATTCACGCCTTCATCTCCTCCCGCCTTGACTATTGCAACTCACTCCTCTTCGGCATCAGCACAACATCC